ATCTTTGCCCTATCAAACAATCACGAGTGGCGTCAACGTCTGACCCTCGATGGCCATTTTGAGCGGTGTATCTCTTTAATTGACGAAGCTCTTGAATGCAAGTCTTGGACTCTCGGGTGCTACCTTGTAGGGATCTTGGCGTGCGTCGATCCCTCAGACAAGGTTCTTCATTTCAGCGATGCCCAGGAGAAGTGGCAGGTACTCCTCAGGAAATTATGGAGGCGCGCACACAAGTTCATATGGCACCACAGCGACCATGTCGAGGCACTACCAGCCCTCGTGATGGCGACCGTGACAAGACAGAATTATCCAGACTCAGATAATCGTTTCCCGAGCGATGAGTTAAAAGAGATCGCTGGAAACGTAAATCAGTGTCTGGCTCAGCTTAAGCAGAGACGAGCAACCCTTGTGAATGGTCAGGCAGACAGTCATTTTGACGCTGCAATATCGTCTGTACAGGGCTTGCATGACGATGTGCGTTATACGATCGACCACTCGCACGTTTCGCAAGGGCACGACGAGTCTTTTGGGGCCATGGTTTATTCAACGTCGTAGCAGTCATTATAACTTGCTTGTAACTCGTTCCAATTTCCCATGGTAAATGAATGAATCATATATTTGGCCTGAGCGTGACAACAGTCTGGGACCCATCGACATACAAGGGCGTGAGGATAAGATACCTACGTCATCAGAAAAAAGGCACCGTGCAGCCCTGCCGAAAACCTCCCTGATATGGTCAACAGTTAGTCCTCAAGGAGGGAGGTCTCGTTGTAGGGATGCATGTTATGTGCACAGCAGATAGCCAGAAAGGCCGGGAAGAGAGCGAGGATATGGTGGATGCGCTGAAAAGCATCGCAACCAAGATGTTAACCTCCGACATCCAATAATAGCATGTTTAGATTGCCATCGACGTTGCTGGTCGGCTTGGAGCGCAGAAGATAAAATTACAATTCAAACTGTTCTACATAGTACACAAAGACCTGTCAATCGAACTCAAGAGTCGTAATATCAGGCATAGATGAGGATTTGAACTTCTATGACGCAAGTTGTCGCAGTCAGAATTGCGTGATGCAGGAAGTGAAACTGATCTCACCTAAAGAAATCAGTGCAATAGTGCAAGGCTCTACAAGGGCCTTTTGGGAAGTAGCTTCATGAATCGGTCTCGCTTCAGTCTCCCCATCCTCCCCAAATAGCGTGCAGAATCAAAAGTACCAGTGCAACGAACCGACGACCATGTCCTGCATCCTTGAATGTAGATAGCTACCCGCCTATCAACCTCTTCTCCCCACGAGGGAAGGGTAGCACGGTTGTTTTCAAAGCGCTGGATGGCACTTTTACACAGCTGACCAGAATAATCGACAGCGCCTTGCAGGTCTAGACCTTGCTCGTGCATGAGGATGGCAATAAGATTGACATTATGTGTCATTGCACGATTGCTCTTTGTTGTAGGAGAAAATATCCTGTCAATTCGACGAGGGCGAAGCAAGATTTGGTACCAGACAAGTCTCGCCTCAGGGTGGTGTAAGATGCAAGGTCATGGATCTGTCCTTTCGCGCGGTTGTCCACCTCCTTAGCTGCAGCAGTGAAGAACAAGTCCAATATGTGGATAAACCGCTCGGTGCAGCCGGGGCCAGCAGTGTCCATAAAGCGACTGAAAATTCTAGAGGACATACCAAGACCGTCAGAAAGTGTGTGTGCGATTGAAAAAGGCGTACGATTTATAAATCTTTCCAGCAGGGTTTTCCGTCTGAAAGTTCATTGGATCACGTGATGCAGAAATACAACATTCACGCATTCCTCTCACGTCATCAACATCACGATCATCGAGGTAGTCGTCTACGATGAATGCCCAGCTCAGGAAGTCTAAGACGATTCGGAGACGGGAAGCATCTGCATCAGGGTAGCAAGATGCAATTAAGTCACCTATGCGCAAGGCCTTAAATTTGGCAATTTCGGGCTCTACGATATGCGCCTCGGTGAAAAGCCATTCTTCAGATGCGCGAGAGACATGGTGAGAATGAGGATTCACGCGCAGGGGGTAGCGGCAATCGCTGAAGAGGTCGGGTAAAATAAACCCTGCAGGCTCAGGATCAGAAGAAGTGATGGTGTAGGTTGCAATAGGAGCCATGGAGGTTGTCGGGCTCGTGTAGTGAATGCTGAGATAAGATAGAGAAATGCAAGTTGAGATATCGTCGAGTCGATCTAAAACATGTCCGTCTTTATAGTCGGTACTGGTATTGGATTGTCCCGCACAATCATCTATTAGAACTTGGACACTACCCCTTGTCGGGCATGAAGTTGGCGAGCCGGTAACGTTGATTCAGGGCACCACTCGCGTCCTGGTGTGCCGGTGCCTGACCTTGATGTAACGCTCTTGGAGGCGTTCGATATGTTGGTGATAGCGTTGTGTGTATGTGGGTAACACCCCGAGGCAGGGGAATGAATAAATGAGATGTTTGTTTTGGAAAGGAAAGGCTCAATGATCCAAGTCTTGTTCGACACCATTGCGTTGTTCGAAGTAGGTTGACTGCGTTTCATATGGTGTACATGCGCCAGTATCAACCTGGGTTATTCATCTCGTCGATATCCGCAATTTCTGGGTTAATCCATTCTGAGAATGTCGTTTTGCTTTGCGACCCGGTACAACCAGAGGCCGATTCTTTACAGCCGCAAGACGGCCCTGTGCACCATTCTAAATGGGGACGGAGAAGCTGGGATAGTTTTCGAAGAATCAGAAATGAAACCAGAGGACCGATGACTTGGCTTATCAGCGGATATAGGGGAAGCGACAAACTGATCATCATCCCCAGTGAAGGCCGAAGGAGACTCCAGACGATGCCGATGCCGGTAAAACAGCTAGATAGGCCGTTTCTGAGGATTGATGGATTTTCTCGCCTTGATGAGGCCGTGCTCCAGCTCGTTGAGGTCAAATAACGCGGAACATCATCTTCGCCGGTTGCAATGTGCCGTCAGTCCACCTGGGGTTCTTCGCTTGTGATGTTGGCTAACGGCAGATTGACTGTTGGTTTCTTGTCTAATGCCCACTGCACGTCGAGCTCGAATGCTCTCGAGGCCTGCACGAAGATGTTGTATGAACAGGCTACCATGTCATATTAATGCAATAACACAGGATAGTTAACAAAAGGAAGAACTCCGCTGCTATGTTGTGCTGTAATGACCAGGCGATTCACATAACCGGCAGTGACTGTCCGTATGAGCAGCAGTCCACGATAAGAAGATAAGGAAGTACTGAGAAGGGCAAATAGCCACTGGTACAGGGAACGTGCTGGTTGTGTATTCCAGACCTGCGGGAGAGCATTAGGAAGCATATCACAAAGCACGTGAACTGCATTTTTATAGTCAGTGAAAACGGGGTGGGGTTGCAGTGGATTAGCATGAAGAGGTCAGAGAATGGCAGAAATGACTCGGATGCCTGGAACTTCACCACGCAGGATACCTGCAGATGTCCCATAGGTCGCGAAATACAACAGGACCAAACCTGCAGGAAGGGCGCTGGTGATGGAAGTTGAATGCATCCAAAGCAATAGGGTATTGTGTAGGGTGTGCGCGATAATGTTGAAAGCTTTAAAAGAAATTCCGATTTGGACGCAGGGCTACTTGTAGATCATGAACCAAAATGCAAGAGTAATATCCGATGACAGTAGTGGCCTTAAGTCGTGTAGTAATGCTTGGGAAGTCGAAGCCAAAGAATGCGAGCTCGAGGGGAAGCTTGGATAGTCGATCTAGACCGCAATGAAAGGGAAACTAAATCGATAGTGGCGCAAGTCGGGGTCTTGATTCGCAGTAGTACTTGCCGTCAATGGCAGGCGTGTTGTGGCAGTGACTAGTACTGCTGAATGTCTTGCAAATCGCATTTCTCAGGGACATCCACTTCATCGGTCTAGACTCTACGGCAATGGCGACCCAATTTTCTCGCAAGGCCATACTAAGTCTCTACGCATCCACTTTGCGGACAGCCAAATCGTTCAGTTCATACAACTTCCGCAATTACTTTGTCTCGAGAACGCAGGACACATTCCGTGGGATGCAAGTATGTTTAGACTTTATAATTCAACAAGGATAATATCATAACGTTATTGACTTAGGTGGAACAAGACTCTACCAAGCTTTCACAAGCATATGATAAGGCTGTAAACGAGCTTGCGGTATTGAGACGCAGCGCGGTCCTTAACCAGTTGTATGGTGGTTTGCGGTTGGCAGTCGAAGAACAGAGCAATGTCCGTACCAGAGGAGATACGTGAACGAAGATACCATGCACTTCGATGATGAAAGCAAAGTAGAGATCATGTTCAATCTTATGTTTACCATCTCAGCCTCAGATCTGAATCAGAATGTTATTCACCTGAGTGCGACACCTTGAGGGCTAATGCCAATGTGTACTGTGTCATGATCTACAGAAGGCAACGTAGATTATTGTATCACGAAGATTTGTTGTCGCCTCCAGTACTTGAGTTTGAGGGGGCAGAGGAACCGTTCCATGGCCACCAAACATACCTTGGCCAACTTGAACCAGACTGCGATGAAGAACTTCGGGGTATTTTGTCTTCAACGACTGGCAGCACGTTTGGGGTCGACACGCCCTTGACAATATTCGTGTTCAATTCCCTGTGCGATACAGCGTCTTGAGTCTCTTTCCACTGCTTTTCAGCATCTTTCAGACGGTCCTCAAACTCTTTTCGCTCCCTGCCCGCACGAGCTTCTCGATGTGCCTGTATCTCGTCAATTTGTCTGGTTTGTCTTGTGTCATCACCGACATTCGAGTTCATTGCATAGGTTCCTGCACAGACAGCGGCGATAGTTGCACCTTGAGCGATGACGCGAACACGTAGCCAGTTATTCAGAGATTGAGAGTCGCCCCGTCTCATTTTAACTGCTGCCATTATCAATGCACCGCATGTCACAAGAGTGCCTGCAGATATGCCATAGACGGTCAAAGTCAATATTCAATTTTGGAGGGGCACAATCGTACGAACCGATAGGGACTAATGGTTGCCCCTTGAATTTTCTCCAAGCCTTCTCCTGGTAGGACTCTCCTGTATGAAGGCTCGGTGTGGTTGGAACAGCAGCGGGAGAGGTGGACATCCTGAATGCATTGAATAAACGGCTTGGTCGATTTCCCTCGGATATGATGATGTAAGCAGTCTCTCGAACTTACGAAGTTGGGTTAACGTCTAGTTAACACGAACACCCAATTAATGCCAGTTTCCGAGATCGACGAAGCACTTATCTAGCTCCTCGGACCAGACGACTCCGGGTTTTGTCCATCTTGATCATGAAAGGCGTTGCGATACTCGTAAAATCCTCGGTTGAAATAACAATGGGCTTCAGCGGCACTGCTTGCAGCTTATCAAAGTATCATTGCGACATTAACATGTTCCTTTTCTATTCCATAGGACTTTTGACACCTGGTGAGGTGTAAAGTACCATGCTCGTTTTGTCGCGTTTATTTGTCTACCGGTAAATGACCTGTTGTCGCGATGTGCTTTGATTGTGCCACACAAGATCCTTCAAAGCGTCATCGTTCTTACCACCCACATTTGATAGGCAGATGCAGCAAAACAATCCTACTTGTGGCATTGTTCGGTCGGTGTGGTTGCGCTATGGGTGTTCTAAGATAATCACAAAATGGTGCGTCTATAACTCGTTATTTAAATATGAGCTGTGGTTCTACCAACAAGCCATCAGTACACCGATCCCTCGCTCATCAACAGCATTCTCTATCTTGTCCTCATACCGGTCATCACCATGTTAACTGGCGATCGCTTCTGTCTTGGCCCAAAGGTCACTCTGAAGTTGACTACTCTTTCATCTTCATCAGAACCACAACTAGTATACTCGGGGTCATGTACATCTGGACCACCATATCCTCAGGATGCGGTCCCTGTCAAAATCGACATCTTCTCTTGCGAAGGACAACACACAGAGCGCCTCCAGGACTCCAGCTATTTTGGAAATTCTGCCTCAGCACTTCGCCCACGAGAGAAATTGGCAAGCCTTACAAACGCACTCCAAACGCCCCAGGCTGGTTCTCATGCACTTGACATTATGCCTCTGCCCATTGCTGTCCCTCCCGTGAAGTCACAGTCTGGTATCTCAGAAGATATTAACCTGGCGAATATCTCTTGTGGACTTCAACATCCTTCTGACTGCAAGCCGATCGACCCTTCTCCAGTTCCTGCTCGGGCTTTGATGCCATCCGTTCGAGGCTCCTTTCGTAAGTTATGCATGCTGCAAGAGGGAGGCTTTGCCACAGCTTGGGCAGCTGAAGACATTTCATCGGGACGTTTGCTGTGTCTAAAGGTTTTTCGAAAAAAACGTCTAAAGCACAACCGTACAGAAGAGGGCCTTTTGAACGAGCTGGATGTATACAAGCACATTTCGTCTGAGCAGGAGACTTTCCCCGCAGGAAAAATGTTCCTGATGGAACTAGAAATGTCTTTTCAAACAAGGCGTGACATCTGTTTCGCCATGGTATGTACTGGTCTCCTGCGAGCCTTTTCAGTTGTTTCACCTGTTGTGCATCTGTGCACTTCTAGGAATTGATGGCAAATGATTTACTTTATTATATGACTCGCGAATCGGCGTATTGCAGCGCGAATGCTCGAAGGTGGAGTGCGCAGATGGTGAGTAACTGTCTTTGCTGGTATTCGATGACTCACAGCTCCGACTTTGAAGGCTCTTGGGATCAATGCTCTTCACTGCATGGGCATCATCCATCGAGACATCAAAGCCGAAAATATCTTAATCGACATACGAGAGAACGTGCGAATTGCTGATTTCGGCCTCTGTTATATGCACGAAAAACCCTTGGATCGACAGTGGCGTTATTCGTCGGACGTGACGGGAACCACCCAGTGTATGGCACCCGAAATGTTGCACAACAGGAAAAATCCACGTCCTACAAAATATGGAATCACCGTAGATTGGTGGTCTTTTGGATGCGTTCTTTACGAGCTTGTCTGTCCTAACCATCAGGCAAGTTTCGTGTCTCGTTTCGGTACAACCATGTTGATATCATCTTTCTCAGACACTCTTTGCCACGGAGAAGGCCACAGTTGACTATGTTACTTGGCATCGCAAACTGTCTAACACAGTCAAGTTGTTCCCCGCATTTGAACGACTTGATTCATCTGTCGCTGGTTTGGTTGCAGGGGTAAGCCTTGTCATTACTCATTTTCTAACCCGATTACTTATTCACCGTAACAGTTGCTCAGACCTTTGGCCCTGATGCGGTATGGGTTTGAAGATCTGACGATACACCCATGGTTTGAGAACGATGGCATGTCAGAATTTCATGACGCGCCCAATCGTGGTTGGTGACATTTGATTTGTCTCTGAACTTCATGCTGAATACCACCTAATGCAGCTCTTCGGCGTGCTGAATGGCCACATATGCGACCAAACTTGCAGGGACAGACCAAAGGAGCGGTCATCTTGACCCCTCTTACCGCTTGGCCCGGTGGTCGTCGGTCGAAACGTTTTCTAGATGTAGATTGGATGAACCCCAACAGTTCTGGAGTTGTTTCTTAGTAGTTTGTTTCATCGACGAGGTCGCCATTCCGAGTTCTGCATTCCACTACTTGCTGCAAATGATTCCTAAATCCACCTTAAGCGATGTAGACGTCCCTGTCTTTTTGTTCTTTGCATACACCTTGCAATACGTCTCTTCAGCCATACGTTTCTGAAGTTCCCAAAGTTCTATATCAGTTCTTCGGGCTCAATCGCACACAGCCTAAGTTTGCGCCAAATTGATGGCTCATATAAGCCAAAGTTCCAAGTCTGACCGCTGCGCCAGCGTGTCTCAACTGTTGTTGTCATTCGTCGCGCATTCACGGCATTCACTTGATCGTTTCAGAGCATCGATGGTCCTACCAGTGACACGCCAAGAGTACCCATGGTCCGTGACGCTAATGAAAAAAAAAAATCAATATCCGACACATGCCAGTTAAACCTGTGTCTTCTTCGATGGAGGCTGGCGATAAAAGCGCATAGGATATGCAGGTGTCATCCACATCCCTTCGGCATGCTGGTGAGCAGTGCAATCATCAAGTGTCGGGCGATGAATTGGATAACGTCCTCGATGATCCGACTCATTCGTAGCCCATCTCAGAATCTCAGACCATGCAGCTTAGGCTGATGGTTTCAAAACTGGCGTGTTTCATGTCTCACTTCGTTATGATGCTACTGATGCCATCTTTTGGCAGCCGCTTTAAAGTTTATACTAGGGCAGAGGACATCGTTGACCACACACGAACCGTCAAAATTTGCGGTTGTTTTCTGTCATTCGATTGTAGCGGTATGCTTTGTTATCATACCACTGGTAGAAGTCATATACGTTGTGCCATGAGTTCAAAGAAGTTGGGAAGCGCCTAGCTATGGTTCTCCAGTACTACTATTGGCACATCGCACGCCAGAATTTCAGGATACCTACTAGCATGGTTGATTAGACCCGATTCGTCCCCGCCATGCTGATTGCAATCGTGTACCAAACGGTCACACATGCTCGTTGACTTGCAATTGACCCATGGAGAGTATGAAGCAGAGGACCCCCCTACCAGCTCTGCCCGGTTGGAACGCTCTTCAGTGGTGTATTAAAAGTCTCCTCCATTTTGAAGTGTTCCATTCCGCAGCATTGAAATCCGAAAGTAGACACCTTGGCGCGCTTTTTGTTCTTGCCACATGTATGGTTCATTTCACTGTTATCTTGAGCGGTTCAATCGGTTGAGAATTGTAACGTATTGATCGGGATAACGATAACTTCGAGAAGGAACGTCATCATATATTGGACAGACGGGATATTGGCAGGGCCGTGCCGCCGTGTTGAAGTGAAACCTAAAGTTTTATATATGTTCCCGTTGTGCGTCCATCGGGTTTCTTTTCGCTCTCTTCCTCCATGACAATTAGACTGCCGCTGGCTTTCGAAGGCTTGTCTCTCCACTGATCAAATTTTCATCATTCCTACTCCAGAATCGACATTCAATTTATCAGCGCCTTCCTGCCGGTCTCCGAATGCATTTCGGTTAAAAACCTTGGCGTTCAGTTCTGAGAATACGCGCCTGACATAAAGCTCTCATTCACTGGGTTGTCTTTTTTAACAGCTGTTCGCTCTCATTTGGCCTCACCATGACCGGCATTCCAACTCCACAGCGCTCACGAACGAAGACGCCAGATCTCTCAGAGATCTTCCGCAGCTCCCATAGTTCCCGCCAACTTCCCAAAACTACTGGCGCTCATCCCGACACCCCATTCGAAGAAAAGCACAAGTCCAGGCGCTCTATGCTACCCTTCCTCGGAAGGAAGAAGACCGAGCGTTCATTCGC